TCGTATTGCTATAATAATATAGACAATGATATACTCGCTTTTTAAAAATCTATAATAACTTTGAGTCTCGTATTACTTCCATACGAGAGTTTAATGTTTCGGCGTGTTTCAAACGTGGACCAGCTGTTTCGAGCGTAAGAAAACTTTTTCTTTCCCAAGTCTTATAGTGTCTCTCTCTCTCTCTCTTTCTCTCTCTTTCTCTCTCTCTCTCTCTCATTTTCTCTGACGGTGTCCCATTTCAAAGTTAAAAGCCTATTCAAAATTCATGCGGTCCAACCATGTAGGCCACGGTAAAAAGTTTTCCCCTTCGAGATGTATTCTTATCAATTTTATTTTAAACAACAGCATTTAAAGTTGTTTTAACAAAAATAACAAAATAATGATGAAAGCTTTCAGACTTTTACTAATTCCTATGAAATCGAAACGTGATCGTTAATGTGCCAAAGTGTTACCTAACGATGGACACAGTTTGTTGATGTAGGTATCGTTTCGATCGTAGGAATAATTCAAAATCCGCTATTAATCATTGGTTTAGATATGATTGTTGAAACCAATTCACCTAATGAATGCATTAGTACGAACGACAGCCGCCGACTCCTGTGCCAGCTCGGTTTTACCTTTAATCGGAGTGACCGAATATCGCGTGGAAGCGTAAACCTCGCTTTCGTGTAATCGTGTTGATACTGTAATTTCCACCGGCTACACTTGAATGATAATGTAAATAATTAGAAACATCACGTCGCTTATAAAATGTTCATTAAATTAATTTTTATTATGAGAAAAGAAATCATTTTTCTGAATGATCATTGAGAAAAAGAAAATAAATTAAACATGAAATTGAAGGTTGATTTAAATCAAGGTTGATTATATTATCTCGGGAATACTTGTATTCGTATCGATAAATCGATTCGTCCTGCTATAAGAAACTTTTACTGTGGTTTTTCAACTGTATCGAGTACACGATCAAAAGAAAACTAGCTCAGAGCTTGTCGAGAAGGTGTCGCTTATAAATTTAGCTTAAGGTATTGCTGACCATCGACCATCGATAACCATTGAGCATCGATCGAAATGAACGCTTTGCGTACCCTTTGCGCCCTAGCTAAGAGATAAGCTTCGAAACGACGTAGGGATTAGTACCGTCCCATAAATCAGAATTAATTCAAACGTTCGCACGAGACATCTTTTTTTTTTTTTTTTTTTTTTATCTAAGTTTTACTTCGATGATAAAATAGGCTAAAAACAAAAACAACAATAGATGCACTCTACAATACAATAACTTGTATTATTCTATAGTATAACAGTTGTTAATTTATTTCATATGTTTCATATCTTTCATTGATCTTGATTAATGAATGAACGAGGAAATAGATTTGTTAAAATAGTCCTCGTTGTTATACTCGTTTATCTTTCAACAATACGTACTTTTTTTCAAAAGTATTTTAGCGTTTCAGAAGCACGATCGTTATTTCTAATATAATCGAACGACCATAAGTAGTGTCAAGTCCAAAGTGCCAGCTAAGCCTTTTAATAAGGGAGTCTAGGCATACTATAGCGTACGACGCTCGACACGTTATTACTTCGGATAGCTGCATACTTGGAACGCCACCGTCTAGCCTTCCTATCATCATAGCCAACCTAGGCCAGAAGCCTCGATCTCGCACGATAGCCGACCGTGAAAAGACTTTCCACGATCACACCTCCAACAAGTACATATATATATATATATATATATATATATATATATATATATGTACACACATACACAAACACACAAAGTCATGTATATATAGGACAGAATACATTTATCGAGTATCTTTGAGAATGTATGCAGGACTCTGGAGCATTTCCGTAGCTCTTCTATAAGATCTGCCTTCGTATACTTGAGGCTTAACCGAGCAATACATACACATATACACACACATGTATATATGTGTCGACGCACTGGAAATCTCAAATCGACATACGCTTTCCTAAACGTCACCCGGCTCTCTCTCTCTCATTTTCTCTCTCTCTCACTCTCTCTCCTCTCTTGCCAAGAGGTAGTCGCTAGGCTGTCAAGTGCACAGTTCAAGCAACTCCTCCAAAGAGGCGAACGTTCGGCTACTCAGAAAATATCTAAGCGAGTTGTAAAAAGTACTATCGAAAGTGGTCGCCGATAGTATTACGTACGAACATACAACTAAAGAAAATAATCGAGAATAAGCGAATTCATACGTCTCGATCCATTCTCATGTTTCTTTTTACGATGAATGGATGATACATTACAAAATAGCATGAATTCGATTTTTCAAGAATTGGCACGGATTGATAGATATCCTATCTGTAGTTACATAGATACCGATCTTGAATTATTATACAAACGAGAAGTTTGCGATACATAGACATCGTCGTCGTTTCGAAGTTGCAAAATGTTTCGACATTATTAATATCGATGATACCGAAGGGGCGTAAACGAGTGTGAAATTTCTGAGATAACTCGATTACGATGCGGCACGTGCTAACGTAATAATCGGATAGAAAGTTACGAGCTTCGTTATTATCGTGCTCGGTTAGCGGTCGATCTAGAAACCCTTAACGAGAGTGAAATATAATAAGATAGTACGATCGAGCGATCATCGATCGAAATGAATTCCAAAGTGATCATCGATATAGAGATATGTATATCGAACGAATGAACGAATAAAATGAAAGAGAAAAGTCGATAAATGGGAACAATAATTTGTTCGAGATAAAAGGAAATCAAGATTCGCGAATAAACGTTAGTTTTCTACGGTCGAAAAGACGTGTTCATAGAAAAAAAAAACCAAAAAAAGAAAACAAAAACAAAAAAAATATATACCATTGAAAGATCGAGCTTTCGCCAGCGTTAATTAGCATATGAGGCTTTAGTTGGCCGGCCGAATTGAGAATGGGTTAATTTAGTTCTGAAATACTTTGTGACCCAGTGAACAACCGCGGCTTTTTCGCAGTTTTGTTCTTCAAGCTTGGCAAGAGAAAACGCTCTGGTTAATCCGCGACTGCACTCGCGTGGAAAATAAAGCGTTTCACTCGATAGCAAAAGCTCCATGTATATATATATATATATATATATATATATATATATATATATATTTGTTTGTTTGTTTGTTTGTATATACTCTTCGTTGTACACTCGTAAGTGCTACCGTGTTCATCCACCCTCCCATTCCAGATTCTATGCTACAAGGATGCCTTTTAATGCATTTCGGATAGACGCTACGAAACAGTCGCGCGCCCTGCCGCTTTTTATTTTGACAATAATTGTAACCTCCTCGTTCGCCTAATTGGACGGCAATTGGCCAGAACTCGATCGATAAGAGCCATCTAGAACAGAGATTGCACATCTCCGGGGTAGCAATTCGCAAAGACAATTAGCGAGCAGATTAGAAGATGAAGGCATCCAGCCGCCAAAATTTCGACGCTCCGTAATCGTCGACCATTCCTGTCGATCGTTTTCAGCATTCAAGGAAAATCGCTTTTAGCTTGGGTGCTACGAAATGAACACGTTTCTGTTCAACTCTCACCAAAAGGAACGTGCTCCTTTCGAAGATAGATTGAGATACTTGAGAGTACGATGATTCTACGAATCGGTTTCGATAAAGAACTTTCTAACGCAGAAGATACTGTATAAAGGTAGAACATTAAATGACAAGAATCTACTAGAGAATGTCAAAGTATCGCTACTTTCTGATTTCTTAAGTGCTCGATAAAAGCTTTTCGACTTAAACTTCAATGTCGATTCCATTTTTATCTGGAAGAAATTATTAAACCACTTCTTTTCTATGTCTATTTTTCTATTTCCCAATCCACTATTCCTTTCTCCCGCCTCTCCCCCACTTTCTTTCTAACTCTCAAAAGATATCGATCTTTAATGAACCATTCAATGTATAAGGAAATTGTAATTAGTCTGCATGGGTACTATTTTGAAAGATCGATATCTAAAAGTACCTTCGAAATAATGTTAAAGCAAATGTTAATATGTCCGTATCGAATCATCGAATAATTATTCGATTTGATATGTATTTAATTCGAATATTTCAATGTTAATGTAAAATACATACAATATTCGTAATTTAAGTTTAAACGATATAGAATCAATCACGAAAATATTACCTTTCTATTACTCTTTCCATCTGATATCACTAATCTTATTAATGATTCCTATATAAATCTTTTTGTTTGAAACGATTTGAAAATAATTTACATGATATATAAAATGCATATTATATCATAGGATATTATTAACAAACCATAGAATTATTTGTTATAATTCGTTCCGCCTTATTATTTTTCATGATTTTTAATAAATTTACATTGGTCCATTATGTCAAATAAAATGAAGATTGGATTTTATATATGTTACGATTAAATTTAATTAATGTCTCTAATTAACGAGACGACTGGCGGATTTCTTTTCTAAATTATGTAAATCGAAAGAAATCTGTAAAAAGTCGCACTTTATCGTTTAGCATAATCATCCAAAGGAAAGAGAATGTCGAGCGTAACTAAAGAGAAACGATGGGAATAACAGAAGGATTCGTTTAACAGGTACCAGTAGCTAGGAATAATTTACAATTTACGTCAGAGCCGTCTGTCGCAAAAGCATAACGCGATTTCCATCACGCTGGAGAGAACGAATCGACGAAAAAATAAAAACGAACGAAGAAGAAGGAAAAAAAAAAGAATGGCGGGGAAACGGGGTCGTCGACCGTCTCTTCGGCCGTTCTCATTTGCATCCCTCTCGTTACGTTGAAACGAGATAGAAAATATGAAATCGACCGAATCACCGTTCTCTTTCTGTCTGTCCGCAGATTTGGTTTAGTCTCAGTAGCTTCATTCAAAATTTCGTGCTTTCAATGGTTATTAATGCATACTTAAAAAAAACAAAAAAAAAAAAAAAAAAAAAAGAAAACAAAGAGCAAACAAAATAGAAAGAAAAAAATACAAAAGAAAAAGAAACTGTATAAAGCTTTTGTACTCACCTAATTCTGGACCGCAGACACGTGGAATAATTTCGAGAATGGCACTACAGGATGGATCCTCGAAACAAAGTTGACGAGCGTAGAGGCAATTCAATATAGCGACACCCTTTTTGATATCGGATCCTAAAACAATAGAGCGAATGCATCGATAATTATTTGTCGATTATTCCTATCCTATTGTACGCGCTACTGATTTATTGTCTTTTATGATTTAGTTTAATCTGATGAAATATAGGGAGTTAATAAAGGATTTGTTATTATTTGCAAGATTGTTTAGCTGAAAATACGTTTCCATTAGAATCATATGTATTAATCGTAGATATTATTATATGCGAAACAAATATACATAAATTAAATACATATAGGAAATGTCATCGAAAAGGAACGAAAAGTGAAATAATGGAGACGGAAAAGTTGCAAAAAAAGAAGGTCAAAACAGAAAACGAGAAAGAGAGAGAGAGAGAGAGAGAGAGAAAGTAAAAAAAAGATGATTTGGAGCGAGCTAGATCGTACGCCCTTACGGATTTTTACGAGCCACTCGCGAAACGGAAGTCGATAAAAGAAGACTCCTGGGTGCTGCAATTAATTACGAAACGTTCGCCACCGGTGCAACCGGCCATAAAGCACACTCTATATAACGGTGCCACTTTCGTAGCTTCAGCTCTGTTCTGGACTCAACTCGCGAGACTCTACTACGGAGATAAATGAATTTTTGCTATCATCAACTCGAAACGAAAGATTTTTCTAAGTTCGATCTCTCTTCTGTCGTACATTCGCGTAAAGCGAAAAATTCAAAATTCTTCGATAGGAAAAACGTGGCTCAAAATTGTGATTGTATTTTCTTTCGAAATAATCATGTCCAAAATTATTTTTCTTTTTTCTCTTAAATGATACTCGATAATATTATCGAAAAAAAATTAAATACGTAGATATGAAACGTGATTCATTGATCTTTCAAGAAAGCGAAGCCGAACTTCTGTTTTTCTTCTTCCTTTTTATGCAAATGAATATTGAGCTTCCGGAAAAAGAAAAAAAAGAGAGAAAGAGAGAGAGAGAGAGAGAGAGAGAGAAAGAGAGAGAGAGAAACACCGAATGTACGTTCTCTCGTCGCGATAAACTATAATTATCGACACGAAACCAGTTCGCCGTTCGCGTGCCAAAATGCAATCTCGTTTATCTCGTAGAAAGAGCGTGTGTTGCGAGTGTCGAAATTAAATCGTAAACTTGCCGATCGTCCCGAATGAATGAAAAAGAAAACAAAAAAAAAACAAAAAAAAAACAAAAAAAAGAAAAGAAAAGAAAAGAAAGAAAAAACTTATTAATTTCTTATCCCTTCTTATTCCTTCTACGAAATTTCTCGAGGTAAAATAGCATAGAGTATTCTCGAGCAGTGCATCAACTATGATCACGATAATTATTCGATCATGTCAATGGCCGTTTGGAACGTCCACGTTTGGAACTTAAATCATTCGCGTGGTTTATTGATGCGCAATAAAAAGAAGAAACGTAGAAAGGGAAGGAAAGTCATAAAATAGTGGCAAAAGGAGATAGCAAGAGAAAAAGGCAGAAGAGTTACACGGAATAATATTTCCATTTCACTTTATTACCCTTTGTCTCTGGTCTTCTTCTTTTATCTCCCTCTCTCTCTCTCTCTCTTTATTTCTTCCTTTCGCGATATAATTATTCCTCCCTGTTGCACATTACAGCAACCTTCTTCTCTACCCCTTTTGCTTCTTTCTCTCTTTTCTTCTCTCTCTCTCTCTCTCTCTCTCTCGCTCTCTCCCTTGATCTTCTTTTCTGTTTTTTTTTTTTTTTTTTTTTTTTTTCTTTAAATCTTACGTCACGTTTACACACGCCTTTGTAATCGTTGTTCGTTTCATGCCAACGACACAAATTTTTCTCCCGCGTATCTCGTCATTCGTGCATGAGTTTGATGATAATACGATAAAAGTAAATTGCATCGGATGATCGATTACAAAAGAAAAACGTACGATTCTATTTGTTAAACGCGTTAATAGATCATATCTGATAAAAATATTTTTTCGACATTAAAACTAAAGATAAATTAAAAATGATTATAAATACGTACAAGTGTTCATTGATGATTGAATCATTAATCTTTTATAATATTATTTACGTGCAACCTAAATCTGATTTTATCTTTTTACCATAAGTTTCTAACTTCGTAAGAACATAATAAATTCATTTGACCGAACCAGTGTTCCTTAACCCTTTCGTTGAAAATTTTATATAGCCTTGAGGTTAAGCTATCTACCATACAGGAACAGTTTGTCTGAATACAGTTTTAAGTCTTATTATATATTCAATTTAAGAGTTGATCGATAATCGATTCAAATAGCTTTATTTACAGAACATTTGATATACAGACTGATCTCAAATGTATCAGTCAGATTTCGAGTTTATAGGAAATTTAATTCTGAGTAAAAAAGTTTCTAAGAAATGTATACCTTATTAAGGGGACAAAAATTACCTCTTTAAAATATTATTATCCAAAAATCTCTAAAATCACGTTTATTTTATACAGTTTTACAAATGTCACAGAAAGTATGTATTTTTCAACGATAACGTGATAAATTTTTCTGTAAATATCTGATAATCAATAAATTCATTAATTCGCGTTTTTTTATTTTATTTATTTATTTATTTATTTGTTTATTTATTTTTATTACGTATATCATCGAAGTTAATTACACAGTTCGTTAAACTTCATAGCATCATAAATCGATGAAATATGAATGGAAAGATACATTGTAAGTATTCATTGGATTTTTATTGATATCCTATATCACTTTTGTTAGACTTTAGAATATCGATTTCTATTTTAAAAAATTATTATGACTTTTATTTTTTGACAATAGCACACACTTTATGAAATAGCTGTAATTACGTATTACATTTTCCCCTTTAAAATCAAACAATAATTTCTTTCGTATGATTTGCTTATAAAATTAATACGTTCGGAAATATTTGGCTGCACCGTTTAAATTTAGACACCATATACACTTATGCACGTATACATACGTATACAGATAGAAAATATTTCTTATTACGATCATTATCGTCAAATTACGGTGGCCGGTTTAAAGTAATTATTCATGATCGAGATATTATTTAAGAACATTCACGCACGCATCGAACCGTTGTTTTTTACGCGACATGACCGACCGCACGAAAACTTTTTCCTTATCGCAGTTTGACGATTCGGTAGATTAAGTGGAAGCAAATGTAGCCCTTGGGGAGGCTCTATGTTGCAGTGCCGTTGCGCAAGCCAACTCGTGCTATGCGGCATAATAATTATCGTCCTTCGTTCGTGGCTAGCTTCATGGTAGTAAAAGTTCACTAAGAATAACCTAATTGTGTGAGGGCGACAAGTAGATAAAAAATCGAGCTTAATGATTTCTCTCGAAAGGTCCAAATCTTCTGTCAATTTCCAAAAATTATAAAACATATCTATTCTCTTTTGTAATTTTCTCTTTGTGATTTCTATAAGATAGAAAATCGTGCTTTATTGATATCTTTGAAAAAAAAAGAAAAAAAAAAATATTGAATAAATATAATATATATATATATATATATATATATATATATATATATATCAGATATTTCGGATAAAAGATCTCCATTGATAGATTACAAAGTAGTGATGGCGAAACTTTTTTTATGATAGGCCACAATCAAATGAAAAATTTTATATTTATCGGATCAAATATTTCAACAGAGTAATTTAAAAAATAAAAATAAATTCTATATTTAACTCTTCCATCAATCTATAGTGACAAAAAAAATATATATATAAACTTAAAATTAATTAACATAATTTTATTTTGAAATTAATACGTAATTGATTGTTGCTTTTGAAATAATAATTTTTCTATATCAGTATTGTATAATTAATGTTACATAAATAAATAATTCAATTTCGCATATATTTTAAAATTCCATTAGAAATGAAATATAAATAAATAACTATGTCGTACTAATCTAATAATTAACATTAAGAGTCTTGTCTTTTTATACTTTGCAAAGATTTAAAAACTCAATTTGTTTTTAATAATTTACAATACTTCAGTTAAACTTCTTGAAAATTCACGGTTAGCCATCGCTGTTCTAAAGATAATTATTACCCGTGAAGACTTGATTATAAATTCAGATAACATTTTTAATTAAACTTCTATTTCTTTCTTGTCTGTTATTTTTTTCTTTTTCTTTTTCTTTTTCCTTTTTCCTTTTTATCGAATAACCAATTGAAGTAGATATTAAAACAAACGTCTCGTATGAATTGAAAATAAATATAATTAAAATGACATATATAATATCTAAATTCCATTGAAAATCCTTGATTTTTCGATAAGTAAAAGAAAAGTTCGTGATGAAAAATAAACGTATTACTTGGCTCTATATATTGATATTAGTTTCGAATATATCCGTAAGATTGTCTTCGAAGTCTGAGAAGGGTGTGGGTCTTCGAAACGAAAGAACCAATAAAAGAGACAAGAAAAAGAGAAAAGAAAAAAGCAAAAGAGAGAGAGAAAGAAATAGAGAGAGAGAGAGAAAGAGAGAAAGAGAGAGAGAGAGAGAGAGGAAGTAGATAGGTAGTTAGGTAGGTAGGTAGGTAGGTAGGTAGGTAGGTTGGTAGGTTGGTAGGTAGGATGAAGAACTTTTTCCAGGGTCTCTCTTTCGCTTTCCAGTTCGCAGGAAGGAAAATCCCTTATCGTGCCGGATGGCCTCACCGGGGAAAATCCATTTGAGAATTTTCGTGCGCGGATATATTTAATTATCTCTTGGAGGGGTGGCAGGAGGATAGGAAGGTGCCGGAGATAATTCCAGGGGGTGAAACTTTTGCACTCGAACTGCGTTACGATGCGAGGCAGAAAGTATAACTCTCCTGTCTTATTAAATATAGATCTCGCTAGCAATTGGAACTTCCGCTTGAACAGTTACTTCCGTTTCTCCCGAGTTTTCTACTTTTCTCGTAACCCCAACTGTTTCATCGTGTCTCCGCCTTCCTCATTCTCTACTTCTTTCTCTTTATCTTTTCTTCTTCTTTTTCTTTTTTTTTTTTCTTTCTTTCTTTCTTTCTCTAACGGTCCATCTTTGGTTGT